CTTGTTGCTTTCCTACATGCCATTAAACATTTCATTAGCACTTTTTGTTTGCTTGTTTGTTTTGTGGCTGTGAGATTTGTTTTGCAAGTATCTGACTCTTCATCTCATACTTGCTGTCTCTTATTTTCCCATCAAGCCCACTCTAACTCTCTGTCTCAAAGACACTTCCAAGTGGCGGGTTTTGGCTGAATCCAAGCACTTTCCCAGCTCCGACTACCCTCTGTCAGTCTCAGTGATCATTGTACACATATAACTAGGCTTGGAAGGATTAGCTTTTTATTGGTAAATGTTGATTTCACCGTACACATACAAACTGCCAGAAAAATATTCCCATTGATAATAGTCAAAATTTACAAAGTAGGAAAAATGCTTCTTGAGCACGTATTAGAATTTGATTCAAGGATATTTGTTTTGTATATTTTGGCATATGATGTTGACAATTTTTGTTTTAACAGTTAACTTTTTAATCTCAATGCCTGCTGCCATCAAATAATTATTGTTTGATCCTCCCCATTATCTGACCTCCCATGATTTCTGACAGCTGTGAAAATTTAATTAAATAAAAGATAAAAATGCTTAAAAATAAACATCATCTATTGAAATGATAAAAAAATAAAGATTGAATTCTGTCAAGCCTATCTATCACACATCCTGTAAGGTGCTCGCCACCCTCAGCTCCCATAGAAAACAATGGGGCTTGTGGATGTTCAGCATCTTGCAGGTTTGAGCCCACAACAGTATTTCACTTTTTTTTTACTAAAAACGGTCCCAGCATTCCTGAACTTTGGGGAAATTCAGATCTAGATCCAGATTTGTGTGTGATGCACTGTAACAGGAATGAATCAAACCTCAGGTCAAGCACCTGAATGTCAGGAGAGTTTGATGTCAGTCCAGATCTTACCCCTATGGTTCCAGCCTCTCTCTCTTTCTGGCTGTTGCAAACTACTTGCTTTGACTGTTCATTTTCCATGAAGAATGATCGGTCACTAAAGTTGCATGGTAATTTTCCAGTTCTCTGACTAGGAGACTGGAATTTTTACAGACAGGAAGAAGGAAATCAAAGTTTGAAGATGGTGACAAAGGAACGTCAAATCCAAACGCATATAGAGGAGCGGTCACAAGATTTTCCCATGATGTGAACACTCTTGTTAAAAAAAACCCACACTCATTCAAATGCTGGTGAAAAAAAATCAATATTTGGATGTTATGACTACTGGGGAAGTGAAACTGTGGGTTTTATTCAAATGATTTTTTGCCAGTACCTCTTGTGACATCTTCAGTTTTGTCTTGAGGACACTTGAAAGGGCTACCTTTTGAAAAAGGATCCATTTAGCACTTTTGAACATCACCAAGCAGGTAGTTAGAGGCTCTAGTGCTCAGACTTGTGTTCTCAGGCCATTTTTGAGGGGAGGTACCAGACAAAAGAAAGGTGTGGCCTCTTTAGCTGTTTAAAAATTTACTCATTAATTTCTCTGCTGCGTTAGTCTTCTAGAAAATATCATTATGTAACAGCAGAATGTTTCTTTAAGCAGTGCTTTTGTTACACCCTGCATCTACTGCTGAGGAGAGCTGCATGATTTTTAGCATCTTTATTATATTTTGTCTGTTTATTTTTGGTAGGTTCGCCTTTCGTTGTGAGTCTACCAAGCCCTGATCTTGTGGAAAGGACAGCAAGCTCATGAACTGAAGCTTGCAAGCTTTGATGGTCTTATTTGCCCAAATTTGCAGCTCTGTGAAACAGTTGGCTGCAGTGCTACATGTCATATGTGCAGCTGTTATGATCCATTTCAGTGCCTATGGGGATCTCAACAAGCTTTTTGAAAAGATTAATGACTTAGCTGTGTTTTTTATGATAGCATTTCTAAAGAAAAGCATGCATACCTAATAAGGTTATTTCTACAAGCTGAGATTTGAATTGCTCACTATAAAAGACAAATAGATAGACTTTGACGGCAAAGCGTATAAGGGGTTGGTTCCCATTTTTTGCCTTCTGTAGCTCAATTTTGCATGAGAAAAGAAAATTAAATGAGACCCAATTCAAGGGTGAAGCAACAGAAAAGCATGAATGGAAAGAATATTCTACTCTAGAATTTTTGACATATGTTGCATAAATATTTTATTGGAATATTATATATTATATTATATTTTATATTATATATAATCTTATATTTGGAATGAATATTAACATGACAATAAAGAGTGGTAATTTAAGACAACCTTCGCATTTTTATATGATTCCTTCAAAATCTCATCTGAATGGAGTAAATAGACTCATTCAAACAGTAAATTGTTTGTCTCTCTCATGATATGACTACTAGTTAACACATAAGGGTAATGTGTGATGTTCTGCAACAACATTAAGTATGTTGTGGTGCAAGTAGTCAAGCAAAGTTTTTAAACCATCAAACACTTGCGTTGTGCTCCTTGGTAAACATAACTCCAATATCTGTCAAATAAGCAATGATCAGCTGACACACAATAACTAAGCTTGAGCTAAATGTGCTTGACATCTGCTCGGATTCCAAAATGTTACTCTGTGTGGCTCACTGTCAGTTCTTTATGCGCCACATAATTATGTAACAGTTGATTGGATGCATAGATAGGAAAGTCCTCTGTGATTTCTTTCCTTTAAACAATTTTTTTTTTCAACTTTAGACTTCGGGCAATTGTATCATTTGGGCAGTTTAATTTGTAGCTTCCAGCATTTTTTCCCCCTGAACAAATAATTCAGATTTAACCCTGCAGGATCAATTGACAAATCTGAAACCATAAAAAATCCTAAATTAGAACACTGGAAACTGACTGTAAAGAAAGCTTGAAAGCAGAAAGTCTATTTTCAAAGGTAGTGCCATGTCGTGGCTAGTGATTGGACAATCTTTTCAGAGTCCACGGTCACCCAAAAGAGTTCAGAGCGGGGGTGCTGGAACAATTTTTATAGTGGGGCTGCTGCTGGTGGAAAGAATGTATTTGGTGTTATTACTGTTTCAAGCTAGGGGGTGCAGCAGCTCCCCTAGTTCCAGCCCCCCTGTCTCAGAGCTAGATATGCTAATGCAGATCTCTGTTCTCTTAGACTAATGTGAGTTGGAAAGAACATCAGCACTGCAGATACACTAGGGAAAAAATTACTCTCTCCTAGTGATATCTATTACAGATCAGAACAAACAAATAGCTTTGCGACAGCTGTTTGCACCAGACGGCCAATTTTACTTTGTCTCACAACCATTTTTGTCACCTTATTCTGGCTGTCTACAATATGAAACGAAGGAGTGATAGTATTACTGGAAGAGTCTTTGGTTGAGCAGACTAGATATGCCTGGGATATATTTCAGAAGAAAGTTGTCTAGCTCTAATACTATATGTCTGTTGTGTGTAACACTGATAGAAACATTGGAGATCCATCAATGCAACGGTGGTGGTGGTGGTGGTGGGGAGGGAAAGAAATGGTTGCAGAGTAGCTGAGGATGATGCATACCACTTGTCGCACATGCTGTCCAAATCCTAGCCGAGACAACCTGACAGATGGTAAACACATTAGCTGCAATTCACAGATGTCTGCCTGGAGCAAGCAGCGCGGAGCTGTGGAATCCTGTTCACTTCTGGACCTACTCTATTCAAAGGACAGAAAACATCTGGAGTACAATGCTGTTTGCTAGGGGCATGCCTCTGGAAGGATCAGAGAGGTGTTTATGTGGAAAATAATGGCTGCAATGACAGTGAAAACATGGCACCAGACACTCAGCCCTTGCTGAATTGATTTACGTCATTCCATGAATACCAGGAGAGACATGGGATACCGCTATGAGACACAGAGAGCCATAGTCCTAGCGTTGAGTCTCAAGGTGACTCCTCTATATAATACAGTTGTCAATTGCTTTCTAGGTTGCTGGGTATTATATCCTGAGAGCTCATTGGCTGCTGGGGAGCCTGCATGTGAATAGCTGACTGTGGTGTAACTCTGACCTAGTCGGGTATAGAATAGACCTCACTTTCTCTTTCTCCCATGTAAAAGAGTGAAGTCTTACAATGTAGAAGTCTCTCTTCCTGAGCCTTCCACCTGGTTGTGGGGGCGTGAGTTGCTCTTTGGAATTCCCTCTAACGAGCAAAGGACTGGCGATGAAGGACCAGTGTTTTCAATTGTTAATAAAGATCATTGGGTTTGTGTTACAATGTCATACGGAAACCAAACCTTTGAGTCCCAGGCTGACAGTCTGCAATGCAACACACACACAAAACTTGGTGTCCAGGTGCCTGGCCCTAAGAACCAAGGGGAGCACATGGGTTGACACAGCAAGATGAAGGTGTTCCAGATGCAGAAAACAGGAAATGGGAATTTCTTTGCTGTTCCAAAACTTTTATTGCTGAGCCAGGGGGATTGTGAACCCAAGCCAGCTAGTTTCTCTAGCCATTTGTAGTAAGATGCAGTTCTCCATGACCCTTGTCTTGGCCAATCCTGCCCACAAATCCTATGGACAGTTGAGGTCTGAGGGGCTTGGTGGCAAATCTGTCTCTGCTTATATGCAGAAAGGGCTTTGTAAGCTGCATTGTTGTAGCCAGATATTTATTTCAGTCTGTCGGTGCTCGCTCTCTATTCGCCAGGATACAGTGTGTTTTTGTAATGAGTAGCATAAAAAGCTCTTTCTTACAAGACCCTTCTATGTACTTCTTCACCCGATGCAGATGAAGTATAAGCAGGAATATGTGTGCATTGGACGCTGAGAGGAGGTTGAGCACCCTTTTGCTTGCTTCTACCTTTGCTTGCGCCCATTTGAAACTAGCCTAAATTTGTTGGCTTCAAAGGAGTTAATCCTGATTTTAAGCCAGCGTCAGTGAATCAGGCCCCCAAAAGACTTTACAAAACCAAATGCAGGGTTGATTTGGATCCATTTAACTAAAACCTGTCGAAGTTTGGGGAATTGAAAGAAATGGTTCTGGTTTTGACCCTTCTGTACCAGAGCTGTATCGTTTATCTTTCTGAAATATGTTTTTTGTTTATTTTACAGATCATCTGAAAATACGCTTTCTGCGGCTGCTGCCGCTTAAAGGTTAGTTGCATGTTTCAACCACCCTTTGTGTTGCCATGGTGATAGATGCAGTACAAAGGGAGGGACTACATTTGAGTCACATAAGTCTCTTTTCCTTTTGCAGGTGCACTTTGTGCCCGCAAAACGTGTGCCCATGAAATGAACTCTGGGCACCCTTCTGACTGCTTGCCCCTCTGCCTGAAAGTCCAGACACTCAGATCTGCACCCACAATTCATTCTGTGGGGAGCAAAACAAATGTTGGGGCAAATTTTGCAGGCACAAATTGCACATGCAAAAGATGCATACACAAGAAAATAGAAACCCCATCCCTCTCTCCTGCAGAACATAACTGGGTTGTGCTCTGATGAGGAGGAAGGGAAGGGAAGAATATACAGGCATAGGGTCATTCTCATGGGAAGCTGAACATTATTGTTGTAATAAGAGTGAAACAGTCATTTCTCCTGCTGCCTCCTTAATAGGCAGGGATGTCCTGTCTGTGCAGAGATCTTCCCAATCTGGATTCCTTCTTTGGCTCTGACTTCCCAACAGATCACCCAAAGAAGGACTATAGACCCCCGATCATGGTTATGGGCTCAGTAATTTCTTAACTTCACTATTCCTTTACTACTACTCCCCCCCGCCCGCCTGGAAAAAACTGTCCTCCCCATATCCATTAGTACTTCATTCACCCTCCTATAGGTTTCACAGGGCAATGGGATATAGACATTGATTGTATTTATCCTTACAGTTAATAAGACTTCTACAGGATAAGACTTCTTATTCCTTTAGTGATAAACATGCCTAACCATGCATTCCTCTTGTGCTGATACCGGGCAATATGACCACTCTCTTTCATGTGGTTTATTTATGGCTTGTGCAATTTTGGACACTTTTAATACCTCTTGTACTGTAAGTGGATTATCTGATTCCAACTTCTCCACTTCAGACATTCGCTCTTTCTTATGTAGGGTCATCTTCATATTTTTTACATTAATCATTTTCAACGGTCATTTCCACGCTGCTAGTTTTTGCAGACCTACTTCTAAATTCTCAGATCATGATTCAACCCAGCATTATTCCAGTTTTACACTGGTGTAATTACATTGTTTTAACTGAAGTTATACCCCCCCAAATTACTGGAGCAATGCACTGTTGAATCAGGCTGTGAAGTGTAATGCTCACAGTTCAAGTATAGGTAAATATTTCATTGTAATATTTATTATAAAAACTAGCTTTCTGTTTTGTACTAAAACCATCATTTTCAAAGTTGGATGGCTAAAGTTAGACACCTTAATCCATATTTAGGTACCTGGTCCCTGTTTAAGCAAAGTACTCAAGCACAGGCTTGCCTTTAAGTACTCTACCACTCAAAATTATTTAAAAATAGAACAACTAGGAAATTAATACACAAAAATATTGTTTTACAGCAGCTAGGGTTGCCACATGTACACTAAATGCCTGGCTCAAAACTGCAAAAGCAGGGAAAGAAAAATTAAGCTCCCTAATAGTATAAACCCTCTTCACCTCTACCCACAAGCACACATCTAACCATTACCACAACTATGGCACACCACAGACTATTCCCTGCAACCTTAATTCTGTGCCACCCCGTACCAGATTATTTTTTCACAACTCTTTCAATTGGGTGGAGAGGTGTAGTAGTTTAGTAGTTGTGTTGGTAGAGAAGCTTGGAGAAAGACTGTGTTTATAAGGGCAGTTAAAGAAGGTGCTGGAAGGGTGGCATCTCTGGGGAGGGCAGAGTTAATGTTGTGTGGTTGTGGTGGTGGGAAGGTGCATGCCTGTGAATGAAGGAGATGGAGGTTTGTAATGGTAAGTGGTTTAACTTTTCATGTCGTGTTTTTGTGAGTTTGTGTCAGTTATGTTATATGTGTAGCCACCCTAACATCTTCATCATACGGTTTTTGTTTGTTAATTAGTTATTCATTTCACATCACTACAGAATAATGAGACTATGTTCCAAAGACTATGTAGTGTGCAGATGAAACAACTGGGGAGCTTCCACCGGTTACAGGATAAAACAATGGAAACTGGTTCAAAAACATGCGGGGAAATATTTCTGGTAACTAAATCAGTGCAAAAAGAATATCATCTGGGCTGCATGTGTGACATGGAAAAGAAATTAAAATGAAGCAGATTGGGAAAATTCAGTTGTCAAGGTTCCTTCCCCACTCTGAACTCTAGGGTACAGATGTGGGGACCTGCATGAAAAACCCCCTAAGCTTATTTTTACCAGCTTAGGTTAAAACTTCCCCAAGGTACAAACTATTTTACCTTTTGTCCCCGGACTTTATTACTGCCACCACCAAGCGTCTAACAAATATAACAGGGAAAGAGCCCGCTTGGAAACGTCTTTCCCCCCAAAACCTACACCCCCTTTCCTGAGGCTTGATAAAAATCCTTACCAATTTGCATAGGTCAACACAGACCCAAACCCTTGGAACTTAAGAACAATGAAAAAGCAATCAGGTTCTTAAAAGAAGAATTTTAATTGAAGAAAAAGTAAAAGAATCACCTCTGTAAAATCAGGATGGTAAATACCTTACAGGGTAGTCAGATTCAAAACATAGAGAATCCCTCTAGGCAAAACCTTAAGTTACAAAAAGACACAAAAACAGGAATATCCATTCCATTCAGCACAACTTATTTTATCAGTCATTTAAACAAAACAGAATTTAATGCATATCTAACTAAATTGCTTATTAACCCTTTACAGGAGTTCTGACCTGCATTCCTGCTCTGGTCCTGGCAAAAGCCACACACACAGACAGAGAGAACCCTTTGTTCCCCCCCCCCCCCGCCTCCAGCTTTGAAAGTATCTTGTCTCTTCATTGGTCATTTTGGTCAGGTGCCAGCGAGGTTATCTTTAGCTTCTTAACCTTTTACAGGTGAAAGGGTTTTTTTTTCCTCTGACCAGGAGGGATTTAAAGGTGGTTAGCCATCCCTTTATATTTATGACAACAGTCATTTGTACTGTCAACAGGAAATGGGTGTGAGAGAGAGAGATTAGCTCCATGATGTGTGAAAATCACAAAATGGAAAATTCGCTTGGAAGTTTTACATGAAGATTTGGTGATGTGGATTAAAGAGTGAATGGTTTTGTGATCAAGGCCCTGCACTGGGACTCACCACAGTTGGGTTCAGCTCCCAGCTTTGTCACAGTCTTCCTGTGTGACCATGGGCAAGTCATATAAGATGAAATCCTGTCCATATTGAAGTCAATGATAAAAGCTAGAAGTCCTGAAGTCTTTAGAAAGACTGGATGTCTTTCTCAAAGATCTGCTGTACTGCTAATAGAAGTTATGGGCTTGATGCAGAAATTGTTGGGTGAGATTCTTTGGCTTGTGTTGTTAAGGAGGTCAGGCTAGATAATTGTGAGTAACGTGCGGGTGCTCAGTGGTAAATGTTGATCTGTATGTCAAAATATGTTTTCTGTATAGGATGTCTGAGATGATATGTTGGAACGTCAGGGGGAGTCGATGGTTTCAACAGTTTCCCCCACAGTTACAAGACTAGTGGTTGAAAGACTGAACAGGTCTAACTGTCAAACAACAGAGCAGCTATCACAGGGGCATTCTCTTTAATGGCCTGGCTGGTTGACTCAGAGAAACCAGTCTCAATCAAAAGGAAGATTTCATACATTGCCCTATAACAAAAGCCATGGAACAACTGGGACTGGAGACACACAAGGAGGGTGGTATTTTTTAAAAAGGTAGTTTTTGTGAAAGGCAGGAACAGACTCAGAATTCTCCTCTAAAAGGTGAACTGGGATTGTAGCTCACGAAAGCTCATGCTCAAATAAATTGGTTAGTCTCTAAGGTGCCACAAGTACTCCTTTTCTTTTTGCGAATACAGACTAACACGGCTGTTACTCTGAAACCTGGGATTAAACTGGGTCTCCAGAGCTCTTTGGTTTCTTAAAAGACTGTAAATTGAGTCTTGTTTTTTTCCTGTCACTCTAGAGGGAAGTCTGTCTAACATGAATTGTAGTGAAATGTAAGACTGGATGAAACTAACCCTGCATGTAGTCTGTTTGTTGTTTAGAAATCACTTTCTCTGATGTTTTGTTCCATTTGCTAAGGAACAGAATTGTTTTCAGAAGTCTGTTGGCCATTTTGTCACTGGTCACAGGCTGCTAAAGGGAAGAAATGCAGGTGGTAAGTGGGACTTTCATGGTAATTAGCGGTTGGCATAGATGGGGTATTATACCCAGATGCCAGTCTACGAGTGGGAGAACTGTGAAATTCCACTCCAAGACATGTAAGGGCATGAGACCACAAGGGAGCACTCAGAGAGATCAGAAAGGGGTTCAGTCAACCGTGTAACTGTGCTGTGATCATAATGGTATCTTCTGCATAAATCTATGAGTCTATGAAAACTCCCAGTGGCTTCAATGGGGCTTAGATGTCACCCTTAATCTCTTTGTGCCTCAGTTATTACTTGTAAAACTGATATAATAATACTTTCTCTCCCTCGCCTTGCATCTGTCTTAACTACTTAGACAGAAGCTGTACAATATGTAGGCAAATTGCCTAACAACTGATCTTGTTTGAGCCCTTTAGGCAGTACTATAATAATGATAATAAAAGGTGGAAAATTCCAAATATTTAAAAGTGAGAATTCAATTCATAACCCACTGTTAGCTACCTAGAGGGTCAGCTACCCAAACAAGCTTGAAAGTGAACATGTAAATCACTGTTATAATGTTTTAGAGCAATCTATCTGACACCAAGAGAGTGTGGGAAAACAGCCAAGGAAACCAACAGCTAAGAGAAAACCTAGCTGTGCTTGGGGAGCAGCACTTCTTCATTAGGAAATCAGTCATCTCAGTTTTTCCCAATTTTAATGGGATTATAAAATGAAAACTTGACCTGTTTTGTGACCTCTCTTCATCTCCTTTCTCTGAGTTTCGTTTGTAGATTAACAGCATAGAGGAGATTTGACTTATTTGAAATGTTAGCCTTGATAGTATGTTAATATAATACGTTTCCCCTTCTATTGA